GGCGGCCATTTTGCCTATAAAAGTGATTCCTTAGTTAGTTTGTTCGTATTGGTGTTGCATTCGTTACACCTTTGACAGTTTTACATGGTCGAAACCAGTGATGTAGCACCATTGACACGATCAAAATCGGCTTTGCACATATTAAAAAATATTGCAGTATCCGTGCGTATCTAATAGCATGGTGACCTTTATTTGAGATTCTGCATGCTGGACCGAAGCTGTGGCATCAAACCGCCAAGTGAAGGGTCGTACGCCTTCAGGCCGGTCAGGATGAACGCAGCGATGTTGTTGTAGGATTGAGCGCCGGAAGATGGATCCATGTTGACATCCGCCCACCAGCCAGGACATTTGGAGATTGCCCGACCAGAGTATTCCGCCGTGCGAGAGGACCAAGTAATAAATGCCTGATTTCCGAAAGCCTCTTTCCTCCAAGCCTTCTTGTAAAGCCTGTGAAACTTGGACACCTTGAGGTTCTTGTTGTAGGCAACGAACGGCCGTCCTTGCACTGCGCCATCCTCGGCGGTTTTGGAAGGAGGGGGTTGCTTGCGTTGGCTCTTGATATTCTTGGGATCAGGATTATCCTTGGTTAAATCGATGAAGGAAGGAGTTGTCAAGTTCGATCTAGCGTTGGCCGTGAGGGCATCCTGACCTTGGGCAACTTCAGATGGGAAGAGCGAGCGTCCTTTCATTGCTCCATCCTCGGCGGTTTTTGAAGGGTTTCGCTTGCTGCTGCGCTTGGGAGTCGTAATGGCAGGGTTATCCTTTGTCAGAGCAATTGACAATTGAGTGGTCGAATTTGATCGGTTTTTTTCCTCAAGACCTCCCTGACCTTGGTCAGCTACAGTCATGATCGAATTCGGATCCTTCTCCGGCGGGTTGATGATGCTATCCTTCATATTGGTTTAAATTTAGTTCCTGTTTCAACGGCAACAACTGTTTTCCTGTACCTACAAAACGCGTAGGACTGGTACACTTTTGTCTTGGAGAAGCGTGTGGAAAAATATTTTCTACCTTTGAGTTTTTGATTTTTGATTTTTATGTTAGAGGAGTTTCCTATCAAGTTCAACAAGGATTCAAAGCAGGAAACACCAGCTGGTAACAATTTACTGGAAGCTGGTAAAGGAAAGTTACTCAATGCTGAGTACCGTCAAATCTTTCATACTGTCAAATCTTTCATACTACTACTGTTGCAAGGGGACTTTATGTCTCTAAGAGAGCTCGTTTGGATATCCATCCAACAATTACTATTCTTGCCTTGAAAGTTCGAGAGCCTACAGAGTCTGATTGGAAGAAGTGTGTTCGCATGATAACAGAATATTATTATTCTTGGGTGAACGCTCGAGATTACACGAGATGATAAGAATAAATTCAAGGTAAACAAAACATGACGCGATGAGTTGATTGGGAATTGACAAACAGTTGATGCGCTTGAGGCGCAAAGTTCCAACTGTTCTCATCTGACGACACGTCATCATATCTATTTTACTATTAATTACTATAAGACACACGTCATCATATCTATTTTACTATTAATTACTATAAGACCCATAAGCCCGCTAACTTACGAATCGTATTGGTCCGTATCATGAAACCCGTTCTTGATACAATTCTGTCACTCCCCAAATGGGTGAGTGAGTGAGGACCTAATCCTCCTCAGCTGTGTCATCTACTCAGGAAAGTAGTGTACGTAGCTGTGGCCATATTTGTTGATATCTTTTGCTAAGGATATTGGCCGGGTGTTTAGCACCTTCAATGTGTAGAAAGGAGAGCGTATTGGATGCAATAGCCTCTTTAACACGATGAAACGACAGTACAACATGTCGCTTGTCTGGTTTTGTATTAGGTCTTGGTGAGCTGTTGGCAACAGTCTCAGTAGTCTTGGTTCCATCAATATGAGGCAAAGAAAACCTTTTCAGGTGAAAAACTTTGTTCACATGACTTAATGGCAACAAGGCATGCCATATGTGTAGGTGGTACAATGTCGTCTTTTATACCATTTAGTTATATGCCGAGGCAAGCCATCAAGGAGTGGCTCATTGCCTTTGAGCAGTGGTTGCAGACCAGTTGTCTGCTCCCCATGAATCTGAGCAACAATACTATCAGAATCCATTTGGTCTTCAGTTGAAGCGGTCGACTGCTTCATGTAGAAAGCGTTGGTAGATAGACAAGTTGCTAAGTGGATAATTTTTACCATTTCAGTCTTAGCTAGTAGTCTTATTTCAAATTGCTTTCGTCCAATTTGAAATTGGATGTTGATGCTGACAGTTTGGCAAAGTTTTCCAGTCATCAATATATGTCCAATGGAGGGAGTCGCTCACTGCCAATGCACAGTGATAAAGATCTATACCATTGGTTGTAGTTGTAGCAAACTCATGTGTGCCTGTGCCATCAAAGTCAAGACTTTGGTTAGCTCCGCTACAAGCACATTGGTGGTATAGGCCTGGAGACCGCTCAATGATACTATCATTGCAGCTTGGCGATTCAGTGCCATGGCGTGTGCTGCATCTGTGCTTTCCAGCAAGTAGGAAGCTGCAGATTTGCGGGGCTCGGATTTGGTGACTAGCTCTAGAAGTAGATACAAAGTTGGATGGCGCCAGTACTGTAATATCTATAGTAGTTATCGTAGCTAGTTGAGTTGAGTCTTCCGAGTAGTGTTCCAAGTTCTTCAGGATGACTAGCTTGGGCAACCATGCAAAGTAGCTGCGAAAGCGTTCCCAATCGCGTTCATGAGACTTCACAGCCGAGCTTGGGTTCTTCAGTTCAACCTTAGTTGGTTGTAATCCGTGCTCAAAGCTGTTGCAAGGTGGTGGACCATTTCTCCTGTCAGGCTTTCGAGTATCATCATCAAAGTGGGCCTCTTGGGTTGAGGATTGCTTGTGAGATTGATACAACACCAGCTCAAAGCGCGCCTCTTGAGTTAAGGGTTGCTTGTGAGACTGATAGATCTCAAGCTCTGGCGGTGCGATTTGAGTTGCACTGGTGCGATCCAGGTTGATAGGATCTTCCATGCTACGTTCAAGTCTAGCTAGTTCAGAAGTTGGTGGACAATGGACTTCATGGAGTCCATCTATTGGATTCGCATTGGCAAAGGATTGGAAGAAGTCAATTGCACAATCTAAAGCAGAGGTGCCGTTCATAGTAGTAAAGAGTAACAAATAAAGGTCACCGTGCTATTAGATACGCACGCATAGTCTGTACGCAGTAACGTACAGAATCAGTGATGGACCACACACATCATCACAACTTTCTAGATTTCCTTTTACGAACGTCTATCAACTTTCCTTTACTTTTATCATCCTCCTAGTAAGTCTATCGCTACACAACATATTTTACATTGTTTATCACGACCCAATAGCTATGAAAGCAAAAGCTATTCAATGAAATGCATTCA